GCCTCCTCCATGGCTTTCGTGGCTCCCTCCGCAAAGGCCATGTGTGGGCTTGGGTTTAGGGTTTAGGGTTTAGGGTTTAGGGTTTAGGGTTTAGGGTTTAGGGTTTTAGGGTTTAGGGTTTAGGGTTTAGGGTTTAGGGTTTAGGGTTTAGGGTTTAGGGTTTAGGGTTTAGGGTTTACGGTTTAGGGTTTAGGGTTTAGGGTTTAGGGTTTAGGGTTTAGGGTTTAGGGCTAGGGTTTAGGGTTCAGGGGTTTAGGCTTTCCTGTTTTATGGTTTGGGGCTCTAGGGAACGTTGTCTCCACTCCTCCGCCCCTAAGAGCCTGCTAGTTGGTCAAAGGCTTTAGAACTTTAAACCCAAAACCCTACACCCTAGACCAGAAACCCCTAAACCCGAAACCCTAAACCCGAAACCCTAAACCCTAAACCAGGGGACAAGAGCCTGAAGGGGTCACAAGTAGACAGCCGTGGTGGGGTTTTGGGGTTTAGGGTTGGAGAATCTGGGAGTTGCAGGGGTTTAGGGTTGACGTTTTAGGGTAAAGAGAACAGGTTCGGAAAGTTTGCAAGTCATGGAGCTGAGTTTGTGGAGCTTGGGAAGAATTTGGGGTCCGAGGGCTCCAGATTGAAGCTTGAGGCGGTTGAGGGTTTAGGGTTTAGGGTTCAGGGTTTCAGGTTCGGAAGCTTTAGGAAGCTGAGCAGTGAACCCTACGGCCTTAAGTCTTTCAAACCCGAGAGACTTTAGGGCCCTATTTATCAAGCCCTAAACTTATATAGGCTCCTCAAGGCAGGGGGTTCGTGGGGGGGTAGGAATGGGGAGTGGGTTGCATACCCCCTCGAACCCTCCTCTCTTCAGAACTCCAAAATAAACCCTGTAAATCCAAAGCCGTAAAAATCAAGGGATTCAGACTCGTACCCTTAAGGTTGTACCCCTAAAGGTTCCCCCTGATATACTCCTAATATGGCCCTCATATTCCCTTAAGGATCCTCAAAAAGGGGCCCCAAAACCCAAGGGTACAACCTTAAGGGTCCGAGGTAGCACCCCTGGAAAAAAACCTCAAGCCTTGCTTTAGAGGGATCCCCACCCCCGCCAAAGCCAAGGACCGGCTCCTTCTGGGTTAAGGGTTCAGGGTTTAGGGTTTAGGGTATACGCCCACACACACATGCACACAGACACACCAACCACACACCCAGCTGTGCAGGTGCAGCGCCAGGGCCCGAAGACGAACCTCCGCGCCTCCGGCTACGGGTCCTCCTCGCAGGCCCCAGAAGAGCTGGTTTAGGGTTCGGGGTTTAGGGTTTAGGGTTTAGGGTGTAGGGTGTAGGGTGTAGGGTTTAGGGTTTAGGGTTTGGGGTTGTAGGCCATGGCTTGCAGATTGTGTTGGGCGTTTATGCTGTTCCTACAAGTCCCAGGGCTGAAAGGGCGCCCGCCGCCCAAGGGAAATCCTGGCCCCAGAGCCAGGAGCTCAATAAAATTCTGGGGTCCTTTACTTCCCCTCAACCCTAAGAGTTTAGGGTTTAGGGTTTAGGGTTTAGGGTTTAGGGTTTAGGGTTTAGGGGAACCCTTGACAGGGGGAAGATGCCCAAGGAAACCATAGGATGGTACCTTCATTGGAGGACCCCTAAGGTTGTACCCTTGGGTTTGGGGGACCCTTTTTAAAGATCCTTGAGGTAGTATCAGGGCCATGTTAGGAGTTTATTAAGGGGAACTTTTCGGGGTACAACCTTAGGGGTAGTAGTCTTAGTTCCTTGATACCTCCCCCCTTGACATCCCCCTCCCTGAAGGACCGTGATAAGCCAGCAGAGTCGGAGCTCTAAGGCCTACTCGGCGGTCTATGGCACTTGTTAACAAATTATAACAGAACTTAGAACTGTACTTGTAGCCATTTTTGGGCACTTAGGGGGCTTCTCAGTGGGTCAAAAGTACAGCTATAATTGGTTAATAAGCACCGTGAACCTCCAAGTAAGCCCTAAACACTGAACCTATGTACCTTAATTACACTAAAGCCCTAAACTCTAAACCGGCTCGTTCACCCTTATCCCCAAGCCCTCAGCCACGCACAAGCGAAACTCCTAGGCTTTAGGGTTTAGGGTTCGGGGCTTCACTTAACCCTAAACCCTAAACCGCAACTACCCGAAACTACCCGAAACTGCCCCGAAACTGCCCAAAACTACCCTCAACTACCCTGAGCCCGAAAAGCCTTCAACCCTCAACCAAGTCGAAGGCTCCCTAAACTCCAAACCCCGAAACCCTAAACCCTAACCCCTAAACCTCTCCAGGGTTCCATGGGCGCCATGGCCGGGCTTGGCGCCGTGGCCGGCCTGGCCGCCGCCGGCGTGGCGGGCCAGCGCGCCAGCAAGGGCCGCACCTCCATGCGGCTCGGTGCACGAAGCTCCATTACCCGTAGGCTCGAAATAGCCCGAAAACCTTATATACGGGGGGGTTTAGGGTTTAGGGTTTTGGGTTTAGGGTTTCGGTTACTGGTTTCGGTTTAGGGTTCGGGGGTTTAGGGTTCAGGGTTTTGGGTGTTGGGGTTTCGGGTTTACTCGGTAGGCCCCTGGGACATGTCATTTTTTCCCTTATGAGGTTTAAGAGGACCATATTCAGGCATATTTTGTTCAAAGGGTTTTAAGGGCCATCCTAGACTAAGCTCCCTTAGGGCTTAGCCTTAAGATCTAAACCCTAAACTCTCGTTACGCTAAACTCTAAGCCCCAAACCCTACAAGCCCTAAACGCTAGACCCTAAACCCTCAACTCTAAACCCGAAACCCTATATAGTTGATTTTCGGGCCTTTCTGGCTTCGTGGCTGTTGCTGGGTTTAGTTTTTCGGGGTTTAAGGGTTCGGTGCCATAGGGCCAAAACCCGAGTCTTTATTGCCTCCGGCATCTACTTGGAGGATGAATGAAACGTTCCCTGCAGCTAACCCAAAACCCTACACCCTAAATCCCAAAACCCTCAACCCTAAACCGCCTGCACCCTAAATCCCAAAACCCTCAACCCTAAACCCTAAACCCTTAACCCCCAAATCCTAAACCCTAAGCCCTAAACCCTAAAGCCTGGTTGACTCTTACGGCCCCACAGCGACCCCAGGCAGGCCGTGGGCGTCGGCATCAACGGCTTCGGCCGCATCGGCCGCCAGGTGGCGCGCATTGCCATGAAGGCCACGTCTTAGGATTTAGGGTTTAGGGTTCAGGGCTAGAGTTTAGGCTTCAGGGTTTAGGGTGTAGGGTACCTACACCATTCTTTCAGGTGCAAGGTTTAGGGAGAAGTTGGGTTAAGGGTTTAGGGTTTGGGGTTTGGGGTTTGCGGCTTAGGGCTTAGGGTTTAGGGTTTAGTGGCTTAGGGTTTAGGGTTTAGGGTTTAGGGGTACCTACGGCACTCATTTATTTCTTCATTCATATGCTCGCTGGAACTGTATAGTCGCGTTTGTCTATCCTTTTTGCCCCTCGCCCCTAATTCTAAACCCCAAACCCCATAAGTTATAACGGTCGGATACTTTGATCCGGTATTGTAGGGTAAGGTTTTCATATCAGGGTCTGGCGGGTCTGAGCTCCCAAAACGGGTTTAGGGTTGAGGGCTCAGGGTTTAGGGTTCAGGGTTTCGGGTTAGGGTTTAGGGTTTACGGTTTAGGGTTTAGGGTTAGGGTTTAGGGTTAGGGTTTAGGGTTTAGGGTTGAGGCCTTAGGGTTTTCGGATTAAGGGTTGGCGCCTCCTGATTTGGCCCGGCTGCTCCAATCATTCGGCAAATGCTCCCAGGCTTGGATGTATGCTTGGCATGGGTGTTGCTAAACCCTAAACCCTAAACCCTAAACCCTAAACCCTAAACCCTAAACCCTAAACCCTAAACCCTAAACCCTAAACCCTAAACCCTGAACCCTAAACCCTAAACCGTCTTGCTTTCTTAAACGTTTAAGCCCTAAACCCTGAACCCTCAATCCTAAACCCTAAAACCTGAACCCTAAACCCTGATTAAATCCTAAACCCTGAGCCCGAAACCCTAATGAACCCTGAACTCGAACCCACAAGACACACTAAAGGCCTCCCTAAACCCTAAACCCTAAACCCAAAATCCAAAACCCTAAACCCTAACATTTGGTGCAAGGACCCCGAGACGGATTTGAAGTTGATCAACGCCAGCTACGATGCGGACTACTTGGCCTACATGATGAAGTGAGACCCCGGGTTCCCTAAACCCTAAACCCTGGATAGGGTTAGGTTTGGGGTTTAGGGTTTAGGGTTTAGGGTTTAGGGTTTAGGGTTTAGGGTTTAGGGTTAAGGGTTTAGGGTTTAGGGTTTAGGGTTCCCTAAACCCTCAGCACTAAACCGTAAACCCTAGACCGCCCTCACCCCAGACCTTGAACCCAACGCCTAAACCCAAGTAAGCTTGGGGGTCATGGTTTAGGAAGTTTATCGTGGGTTTAGGGTTTAGGGTTTAGGGGTTAGGGTTTAGGGTTTAGGGTTCAGGGTTCAGGGTTTAAGGTTTGCGGTTTCTGCAAAGGAGTTCTTTGCAAAGGTCCCCCCTTAAAGTCCCCAAGCCCACGCAACCTATACCACCTAACGGAACAACCTGGGCCTAAACACTTAACCCGCAACGGGCTTAAGGTAGTTTAGGGTTCTGGGTTTAGGGTTACGCGAAGCCATGAACTGCAAGCTAAAACTTAGAACCTGATCCGCGGTAGGCGTAGGGTTTGGGGTTTAGGGTTTAGCGTTCAGGGTTTTAGGGTTCAGGGTTTAGGGTTCAGGGTTCAGGGTTTAGGGTTTTTGGTTTATAGGGTTTTGGGGACAGAGGTACAATCTTGAAGTGTGAGTTTGGCGTGAAGCCACCCAACACCTTCCAAGAATGGTGTTGCTGTACTCCTTAATTATTAATTTGCAGGGCCGGTGACGATGATAGGCTACTCAATCCACCGCCACCCCCTGGAGCGAGCACTTCACTGTTGAGCCATCGAGGGACCTGGTTCAGTGGAGGTGGTGGCTTTTTGGTTCCTTCTTCGGGGCATCGAGAATGTGGCCTGTTCGGACGTGGTCCTCCGCCGCGACCCACGTGCAGTTCGCCTACGGTTGCCAGTTTCGAAGACGGACGTGGAAGGCAAGGGGTGCGAGCGCGCCCATGCGTGCATTTGCCGGCCAAGACACCGCGATGGGTTCGCTGCTCCTCAACTTCCCGTCCGACAAGGCCGAGCGCACAAGAAAACATACAAATCGGACCATGCTGGCAAGCTTGTCCAAACCGCGAAAACTGCAGTCTGTGCTGAGCACGTCGCCCTCGCTGCCCTTGCTCGCGCCGCCCACCTTGACCTTGGCATCTCTGCCCGTGGGGCCCCGAAATCCTAAATCCTAAACCCTAAACCCTAAACCCCTAAACCCCTAAACCCCTAAACCCCTAAACCCCTAAACCCCTAAACCCCTAAACCCCTAAACCCCTAAACCCCTTAACCCCTAAACCCCTAAACCCCTAAACCCCTAAACCCTAAACCCTAAACCCAAAACCCTCAACCCTCAACCCTCAACCCTCAACCCTCAACCCTCAACCCTCAACCCTAAACCCTCTAAACCCTAAACCCTAAACCCTAAACCCTAAACCCTAAACCCTAAACCCAAACCCCATCAGGGTAGAAGCCTTACGCTCCAGCCCTCCTAAACTGCCCAACCTCAGGGCTGGTGACGATGATGAGGACGATGAAACCCTAAACCCTAAGCCCTAAACCCTAAACCCTAAACCCTAAACCCTAAACCCTGAACCCTGAACCCTAAACCCTAAACCCTAAACCCTAGACCCTAGACCCTAGACCCTTGCCAGGTATGACACGATCCATGGCAAGTACGATGGAACCGTTGAGGTGGATGGCGACTCTTTGGTTATCGACGGCCAGAAGGCCCCCAAGCCAGCGATTCGGATTTTCAGGGTTTAGGGTTTAGGGTTTAGGTTTAGGGTTTAGGGTTTAGGGTTTAGGGTTTAGGATTTATAAGGTTAGCTAAGGAATTTGTTAGCTAAGGAATTTCAGGGCTCAAACTGTTCAGAGGGGTTAAGGGACAAACTCTCGTTCAGGGTCCCTCTTAGGGAGGGGGGGGGGGGGCCTTGATATTAGTAAGGTGCCGTACTATATTACCATATGGGACCCACATATAGGGTTTAGGGTTTAGGCTTAGGGTTGAGGGTGAATTAAGAGAACTACCCATGGTATTGTTGGGAGAGTGGAGCTTATCATTTTTTCGTCTGAGGCTTTAGGGTTTAGGGTTTAGGGCTTAGGGTTTAGGGTTTAGGGTTTAGGGTTGAGGGCTTAGGGTTTAGGGTTTAGGGTTTTAGGGTTTTAGGGTTTTATGGTTTTTGGCTGGATGGCTCCCGGACTGTTCAGGAAGAACTTGAGGGTCGTACGGGTACGGGGTGTAGAGCTTCAGGTTTTGGGGTTTTAGCAAGCCCCCTCGCAACAAAGAAACAACGATGCAAACACAAAGTCTAAAGTAAAACCCCAAACGCTCATGTAGGTTCTAAGGGTTCTGGTTACAGAGGCTTCGGTTGTATGTGTATCTACTTGTCGTCATGAGCTAACCTTTATAAACCTTACATAAACCTCGAACCCTAACTCACCTTGAGCCCAAAGACCCTGGCCCCAGGCCTAAACCCCTAACGCCCTCATCCAAGCGCCTTTTGAGCCAACACGGCTCCAGCCGGCAGGTGGAGCCACCGGCACTTCTACATAATAATCTACGGCGATCGCCAGACATGTCTGGCGTTTTGCCGACCGTGACTGCCGCAAAGCATGCTTCGAGATGAAGCCGGCAAGCACAAGAGACGTTTGAAGCAGAAAGAAGGACTTGGCTGGCCTGGAGGCTTTAGCCTTGGATTCGAGGTTCTTTGTTTGGACAGACCTGCCTCTGAAGCCCAAACTCTTCTGTTCATGTATTTACCCTAAACCCCAAAGCCTAAAACCCGAAACCCTAGACCCAAACCCTAAACCCTAAACCCTAAACCCTAAACCCTAAACCCTAAACCCTAAACCCTAAACCCTAAACCCTAAACCCTAAACCCTAAACCCTAAACCCTAAACCCTAAACCCTAAACCCTAAACCCTAAACCCTAAACCCTAAACCCTAAACCCTAAACCCTAAACCCTAAACCCTAAACCCTAAACCCTAAACCCTAGCTCGGCATAAGGTGGCGCTGTCCCACACCCGCGACCCTGCCGAGATCCCTTTCGGGGAGCATCCTGGCTCGTGTGGGAAGACCCTGAACCCTTCAAACCATGTTTAGGGTTTAGGGTTTAGGGTTTAGGGTTTAGGGTTTAGGGTTAGCTGAACCCAAAAACCCTAAACCCTAAAGACTCTAACCCTAGAACCTATAGGGGTTCCAAGGCTTAGAATTTGGGATTTCAAACTTCAAGGCTTATTATAGGGTTCCAGAGTTTAGGCCCCCGCCCACCCCCTCCCCCCCCCCCCGCCCCCCCCGCCTACCCCCTGCAGAGTTTAGGGTTTAGGGTTTGCAGAGTTTGCAGAGTTTGCAGGGTTTGCAGGGTTTGCAGGGCTTGCAGGGTTTAGGCTCAACCGGAAGACAAGACCGGATCCTGAAACGTTCCGCCTCAACATGAGGCACTAAACCCTAAACCCAAATCCCAAATCCTAAACCCAAAACCTGAGAACCTTAGAGCTATGAACTCTAGAGCCTTGGAACCTTAGAGCCCTAGAACATGGGAACCTTAGAGCCCTAGAACCCTAGGAGCCCTAGAAAACCTTGCCCTAAACCACAAACCTTGAACCCCAAACCCTAAACTCTACACCCTAAGCCCTAAACTCCAAACCTTAAACCCCAAACCCTAGACCTTTGAACCCCAGAAGTCCCAGACGGGTAGGCGTGGTGCCAATGCCCTAAACTCCCTAAACCCTAAACCCTAAACCCTAAACCCTAAACCCTAAACCCTGCACCCTACACCCTCAACCCTCAACCCTAAACCCTACACCCTAAACCCGAAGCGCCCCAAACCTCAAACCCCAAACCCCCAACCCCAATCCCTCAAGCCCAAACCCTAAACCCCTAAACCCCTAAACCCTCTAAACCCTGAACCCTAAACCCCAAACCCTAAACCCTAGACCCGAAGCCCCTCAGGCATGGCGCCGAGTACGTCTGCGAGTCCACCGGCGTCTTCCTGACCACGGACAAGGCGCTGGGGGTTGAGGGTTTGGGGCTTCGGGTCGAGGGGTTTAGGGCATAAAGCTTCGGCTTTAGGCTTGGGAGTTTTAGGGTTCAGGGCTTGAGGCGTTAGGCTGAGGAGGCTGACGAAATTGCATGGGTTAGAGTTGAGGGGGTGTAAGGCGTTCTGGGTTCGAGGGGTCGGGCTTCTTTCTCCCTTAACCCACTCAGGCCCAGGCACGCCGCCACCCGCCCTGTTGACCGTTTATATACCTCCCCCAAAACCCTGAACCCTGGAACCCTGGAACCCTAAACCCTACACCCTCAGCCCTCCCATCCCTAAACCCTAGCCCTAAACCCTACACTCTAAACCCTAGCCCTAAACCCTAAACCCTAGCCCAGCTTAAAGGGGCTCTTGACAATGGGGACGGTTTGGCGGAACCTTCTCAACCCCCCCTCCCCCTTAAGCAAGCTCCGAAGCCCTCAACCATGAACCCTGCTTAGGGCAACCCTAAACCCCAAAACCCCCAACCCTAAACCCTAGCCCTAAACCCTAAACCCTAAACCCTAAACCCCAAACCCCAAACCCCAAACCCTAAACCCTAAACCCCAAACCCCCTAAACCCCCTAAACCCTAGACCCTTTCCTTAGATCCTCATAACCCCTCGCCCCTGTCTGCCCGCCTAAACCCTAAACCCTAAACCCTAAACCCTAAACCCTAAACCCTAAACCCTAAACCCTAAACCCTCGAGGTGCAGCCTCACCTTAAGGCGGGCGCAAAGAAGGTGATCTTCTCGGCCCCTGCCAAGGCCTACAGGGGTAGGGTTTAGGGTTTAGGGTTAAGGGTTAAGGGTTTAGGGTTAAGGGTTTAGGGTTTAGGGTTTAGGGTTTAGGTTTTAGTTTTTAGGGTTTGTTTTGGGTTTAGGGTTTTGGGTTTTGGGTTTTTGGGTTACCAGGGTTTTGGGTTACCAGGGTTTAGGGTTACGAGCTTTTGGGTTACCAGCGTTTAGGGTTTAGGGTTTTGGGTTTTGGGTTTTGGATTTGAGGGTTTAGGCTCTAGGGATGCCTAGGCCCCCAGGGGTTGCGCTTTCCGCTTGTAGGACTGTTGGGTTTCAGGGTTTGGCGGTCTATACACACCCTCCGCAATCCTAAACTTCCCTAAGCCCGAAACCCTAAACTCTAAACCCTAAACCCTAAACCCTAAACCCTAAACCCTAAACCCTAAACCCTAAACCCTAAACCCTAAACCCTACACACCCTAAACTCCCATCAGGATGACTCGCACACCATCGTCATGGGTGTGAACGAGGACCCCGCAGCAGCAAATCCAGGGTTCCCTCACCTCAGAACTCCCCAAAATTCGGGGTCCTGAAGCCGAACCAGAATCCTGGGGTTTAGGGTTTAGGGTTTAGGGTTTAGGGCTTAGGGCTTAGGGCTTAGGGCAGGCACCTGGAAACGGCGCCCTGGTCCCCAAGCCCTAAATTCATGCACCCTGAAACCCTAAGCCTCACAACCCTGTGAAGCAACCTCGGGCCCTCTTCCCAGAGACTTGGGCATGGGACTTCGGCTTGGCGTTTCAGGGTTTTGGGTTTAGGGTTTAGGGTTTAGGGTTTAGGGTTTAGGGTTTAGGGTTTAGGGTGTTTGGGGTTTAAGCGTTAGGGTTTTCGGAAGTTTTCATCTTGGACGTTTGGGCTTAACGTTTCAGATTTCTGGGTTAGGGAACTGTCAGGGTGGAGGTGTCACGAATCCCCCAAATGGTGCCCTAGGGCTTCAACAGGACAACAGGACACCGGGCCCCGAAATTCGAAACACTAAGGACTAGGGTTTGGGGAAACTAGGGTTTAGGGTTTGGGGTCTGAGGGAATTAAGGACAATGTTCCCGAAACCCTCTGGAGAAGAGGAACCTTCAGCCCCAAACCCTAAGTCCTAAACTAGCCCTAAACCCTAAACCCTAAACCCTAAACCCTAAACCCTAAACCCTAAAGCCTAAACCCTCAAGAGGACACCTACGACCCCTCCATGGAGTGCGTGTCCTGCGCCTCCTGCACCACCAACGGCCTCGCCCCCGCGGTGCGCGTGCTGCACGAGAAGCCCCTTGGGCGCAAGAGGGTTTAGGGTTTAGGGTTTAGGGTTTAGGGTTTAGGGTTTAGGGAGGGGCGTTTAGGGCTTCGTGTGTATAGGGTGAGTTCAGACAGCAGGCCCTGAAGTCTTCAAAAACAAGCAAGGGTTTAGGGTTTAGGATTTAGGGTTTGTGGTTTAGGGTTTGGGGCTAACATGGCGAACTTACAGATTCTACAGTATCCTGAATCGAAACAAGCCCTCATCCGTGGCTCTAAGATCCTGAATGAAGATTCTGGTTCGATCCCCGAAATTCATGTCATCAGTGGTTTGTCTGTTTGTTGCCCGCCTGTCGCCTGCCATGTCTTGCAACAAACAGGCGTGAGGGTTGTAGAAGGGACCCAGATTGGATCCTACATCCTGTGATAAGACCCAAGTCTCCCTTAATTAAGGGCTTAGACTTTTTTGTGCAGGATGTAGGGCAGGTAGCCGCAGAGGTGCTTCCTTTGGTTTGTCAGGGTTGTCCGTTTGTTTCCCTGGGTTGTTCAGGCTTTCATGTCAAGCTTCCTAGGCCCTAACCCCTCAAAACCCCAAACCCAAAAACTTTAAACCCAAAAATGCCCAAAACACCCCCAAACCCCAAAATACCCGAACATACCCTAAAAGTACCCTAAAATACTGTACCCAAAATGCCCCAAACCCAAGCCCCTAAACCTGAACGAACTGCAGGTTCGGCATCAAGCGCGGCCTGATGACCACCTGCCACGCCATGACCGCCTCCCAGCCCACCGTGGATGGCACCTCCAAGAAGGATTCCAGTTCAGGGTTCAAGAGTTTAGGGTTTTGGGGTCTAGGGTTTAGGCTTTCAGGGTTTCAGGCATAGGGTCTAGGGTTTGGGATTCAGGGTTTAGGGTTTGGGGTTGGGATTTGAGGGGTCTAGGGCTGGATGTGCTTTTGCGTCCCTGAAAGGAGTTGCCAGGAATTAGTTGCGCAGGAGTTTTTCACCGCTGCTTTAGTTCATGGCGTGGGGTTTTGTGGTGCGGTTTGCGGTTTGCAGTTTATCAGTTTCTCTGTGGCGTTTGGGGTTGGCGCTTAGGTGTTGGGTTTTAGGGTCTTGGGTTTAAAGGGTTTGGGGTTTAAACCCTAAACCCGAAACCCTAAACCCCGAACCCTAAACACTAAACCCTAAAGCCTAAACCCTAAACCCTAAACCCTAAACCCTAAACCCTAAACCCCAAACCCTGATCGACTCAAGGCTCTCAGAGCCCTTCAATCCTTGGAAGAGGTTAAGGCCCGGAACTAGAGCCCGGAGTCGGCCTCGTTCTAGGGTTTAGGGTTTAGGGTTTAGGGTTTAGGGTCTAGGGTTTAGGGTTTAGGGTTCAGGGTTTAGGGCTAGGGTTTAGGGTTTAGGGTTTGGGTTCCCTTCGAAAAGCGCCCCCCCCCCCCCCCCCTCCTTTACAACGGGAGGCAGGTGGGTTTAAGGCATCGTTGCCGGAGGACTGGCGTGGTGGCCGTGCTGGACCAGGTGACGGGAAACTCTAAACCCTGAAACCCTATCCCCTAAACCCTAGCAGTCCTTAATAGGGATTGGAATAGGGGGTACTATAATCCCGATTAAGGGCTGTTAGTATAAGGAACATCAAAACGCGAAACCCTCAAACCCTCAAGCCCTCAGCACTGAGCACTGAGCACTGAGAACCCTCAACCACAGATGACCCCAAAGGGTTGAGGTTTAGGGTTTAGGGTTTAGGGTTTAGGGTTTAGGGTTTAGGGTTTAGGGTTTAGGGTTTAGGGTTTAGGGTTTAGGGTTTAGGGCTTAGGGCTTAGGGCTTAGGGCTTAGGGCTTAGGGCTTAGGGCTTAGGGTTCGGCAGCTCATTTACTAGCTTTCACTAGTCAAGCAGCTTTTCAAGCGACAGGAAACTAGCCACCCACCCAGAGAATCCCAAAACATTCCGAAATATAAAGTATATATGTTTCATCAGCAATCCCTGTCCCCCAGCCTCACTGCGTCATGGAGCGGTCCATCCCACCTTCGAAACGCTCAATCGGCCCCCTCTTTTCGCTACTTCGAGCCACTCCCCAACCCACCCCAGACTAGGGTTCCCAGTAGTGCCCTTCTTCCCTTTTTGGGGGCTCTAGGTTCCCCTATAAACCCCTTTAAGCAAAAAATGCGCACCCTTTGTAATCCTAGGTTACTGGGCAACCTAGCAGAACCAACTAGACAACCAACAAAAACCCTAATTTTGTCAACCTCAGGCCTTTTGTTTTCCCCCACCCCACCCTCGAACCACTCAAGATGAGAAGGTTTAAACATACATATGAAAGAGAGGGTTTAGGGTTTAGGGTTTAGGATTTAGGGTTTAGGGTGATTTAGGGCTTAAGGGTGTAGGGCACAAGAACCCCCAAGAAAGCTGCGCCCGACACTTAAACGCCCACCCCTAAACCCCTAAACCCTAGCCCTAAACCCTAGCCCTAAACCCTAAACACGCTAAACCTCGTAAACCCCCGAAAACCCTTGCGCAGGCAACATCATCCCCTCGTCCACCGGCGCAGCTAAAGCCGTGGCCAAGGTCATCCCGGACGTCAAGGCTGTAGCTGGGGTTTAGGGTTAAGGGTTGAGGGTTTGGGGTTGAGGGTTTAGGGTTTAGGGTTTGGGGTTTGGGGTTTAGGGTTTAGGGGTTTAGGGTCTAGTAGCTCTGTTTAAGAGCCCCTCCCCAACAAAAGGTAGAGGGCCGGGCCTTTCTGAGGTTTAGGGTTTCGGTTCTCGGGTTTTTGGGTTCAGGGTCCTTGAGGACTTCGGGATGTTTAGATGATGTTTGAGGAACCCTGGGTTAGGGCTCAGGGCTTAGGGTTTTAGCGTTTGGGGGTCGCACAGCCTATACACGTTGAGTCCTAGCTCAGTTCTCTACATGATGGTTCCCCCTTTGTTGGGTCCCCTATATACTACGGCACACTGAAAACAAGCACCCAAAAGAGACCCTAACTTAGAGAAAATGATGATGGTCCTTAAAAGGCCTGTGCGGTCTTCTCGCAGCCTTCCCCCCCCACCCTCGGCGCTCCCGCAAGAGACCCCTTTCACAGGGATTTGGGTAAACCCTAAACCCTAAACCCTAAACCCTAAACCCTAAACCCTAAACCCTAAACCCTAAACCCTAAACCCTAAACCCTAAACCCTAAACCCTAAACCCCCTCTAGGTTTTAGGGTTCAAGGTTTAGCGTTTAGGGTTCAGGGAAGCACCAAAGCCTTGGAACACCCCACCAGACCGTAAAACTCCCAAACCCCCAAATCTTGACAATCCCCCCGAAACTCAAGGGTTTAGGGTTTAGGGTTCTAAAAGCTTAATTATGTGGAGAACCTAGAGTGGGGTAGTAGGGAAACCTATGAAAAAGAACAGTGAACAAACAAACCTCACACATGAAATCAACGCCCGACCTTGAACCACTGAGAAGCCTTCAGATTTTTACTTACACTACATCAGCGAGGATATTTTGATGAACACGCGACGCACGGTGGCAAGGTATGGAATGGTGGATGGTTGCTCCTGTCAGTGCCTTGCGCAAGGTGCTGGTGGGGCTGGAAAGAAGTGTGTCAAGACCACCGACGCCATTGATGAGATTGAGGTGCTCTTTGCCTTTGAGGTGTCAAGCGACGACATTCAGGCCGTTAAGTCTGCGCTGACGCTCAAGAGCATTTCATTGAAAGGCTGGGTCGAGTCCCTCAATCGCGATGATGCAGGGGCATGATAAGCAGGTCGCCACGGAGAACATGCCCGCCCTCTTGAGCCCATGCATGCCTTACATCAAGAGTGCTGAAGCTGAAGTTTGCTTGGGCGGTGGGGTCTAGGGTAAGGGTAAGCCTACCCAAGCCCTTAAACCCGAAACCCTGAACCTGAACCCCCCCCTAAACCCTAAACCCTAAACCCTAAACCCTAAACCCTAAACCCTAAACCCTAAACCCTAAACCCTAAACCCTAAACCCTAAACCCCCAAAGCCCGCACCGGTTTCCAGGGCAAGCTGACCGGCATGGCCCTGCGTGTGCCCACCATCGACGTGTCTGTGGTGGACCTGACTGTTGAGCTGGAGAAGGAGAGGGTTTAGGGTTTAGGGTTTAGGGTTTAGGGTTTAGGGTTTAGGGTTTAGGGTTTAGGGTTTAGGGTTTAGGGTACCCCAAATAGCATCCCTTAAAGGGAACCGCCCCAAAAAGGGTACCCCCCTATGTTCGGAAACCTCCAGATGGCTCCGGGTTTGGGGCTCAAGAATCCCTAAACCCTAAACCCTAAACCCTCATCCCTTATTTTAGCCACCCAAATGGGGTTTGGGATCCAGCATGTGGAGTAACCCCTAAGCCTTGAACCGTGAACCCTAAACCGCATTGAAGGGTCTTTCAGGGTTTAGGATTTAGGGTTTAGGCTTTTTCTTTAAGGCTGTTTGTTTCTTGGGATTTCGGCTTGTTCTTGCTTTCCGAGTTTGTGAATTTACCAAGATGTAGGGTTTGTGACTTGGTCTTTGGGTGGCTTGGGCCTTCCGGGATGGCAAAGAAATTCAGGGGATTGGGGGTTTAGGGTTTAGGGAAATGCGAGCAGGAGACCACGTACGAGGAGATCTGCGCTGAGATGAAGAAGCCAGGATGGTAATGCGAGGATGACCCTGAACCCTAAACTCTAAACACTAAACCCTAAACCCTAAACCCTAAACCCTAAACCCTAAGCCCACTTAGGCTCTAGGGCTTCTCAAGGAACCGAAGGTTTTACCCCCCTCCCCCCCGGGATTGGGTTGAGGGAGAGCCACTTAGGGTTTCGGGGTTGACCCTAATCCCTGAACGGCCCTAAACCTGAAACCCTAAACCCTGAACCCTGAACCCTGAACCCTGAACCCTGAACCCTGAACCCTAAACCCTAAACCCTAAACCCCCCCCCCCCCTCAACCCAAGGAAGCGATCCGAGGGTGACATGAAGGGCTACCTGGGCTACACGGACGAGGTGATGGGGGTTGAGGGTCTAGGATTAGGGGAAAGCAGGGCTTAGGGTGTAGGGTTTAGGGTTTAGGGTTTAGGGTTTAGGGCGACACGGACGAGGGGAAAAAGGAGGGACCCCTAGAAGGGACCCTTAATCTTATTCCCTATATAGTATAACCCCTATATAGCCCCGAAATAGACCTTCAAGAGTCCTTATCTGATATACCTATGTTGGCTTCGACAGTACCCCTAAGGTCCCTTATAAGGGTACCTCCTTCAGTCCCTTGATTTTGGTGGTTTGGAGCCTGGAGTAGCACGCACTCAGCCTTCTAAGCCCTCGCAGATGACAGGGTTTGGGGTTGAGGGTTTAGGGTTTAGGGTTTCAGTGTTGAGGGTTTCCCTACACCACACCCTCTGTAACCCCTCAGGCCCCGAAGCCCCCCGCCCCCTTCCCCAAGCCAAAAACAGAGGACAGCCGGAAACCCTAAAAACATCAGACCCCAACGGCAGCCCAAAACACTTCGCACCCGTAAACCACCCCCCCAAGCAAGCCGAGCAAGTCATGAAACCCTAAACCCTAAACCCTGAACCCTATACCCTATACCCTATACCCTATACCCTAAACCCTATACCCTATACCCTATACCCTAAACCCTAAACCCTAAAACCTTTAAGCCGATGAAATTGAGAGCCCCGCCCAAGACCCTAGGAACCCGAGGCCCCGAAGAAGCCCCCAAGATTCTTGATCTCTTCGTTTAGGGTTCCCGGGGGTTTAGGGTTTAGGGTTTAGGGTTTAGGGTTTAGGGTTTAGGTGAAACCAAAGCCCCAAACCCGAAACCCTAAACCTAAACCCTAAACCCTAAGCCCTGAACCCTAAACCCTAAACCCTAAACCCCAAACCCTAAACCCCCAGCTCCCGAGCAGGCCCTGGTGTCCACGGACTTCGAGACTTGCCCGATCTCCTGCACCTTCGACTCCAAGGCCGGTTTGGGGTTTAAGGTTTAGGGTTTGGGGTCTGGGGTTTAGGGTTCAGAGTTTAGGGTTTGGGGTTTAGGGTTCGGGTTAGGGTTTAGGGTCTGGGGTTTAGGGTTTAGGGTTTGGAGTTTCGGGTTCGGGGTTTAGGGTTTGTGGGCTCTAGGCTCACCACCAAGCAATGGGAACAGTGATGCTTTTGGAGTGATTGTGAGGGATCATGGTCGGGGGAGGGTATAAGGCGTTGAGGGTTTAGGTTTCTCGGGCTCAGAAGTTTTGGGTTTGAGGGTTTCGGGCATAGGCATGCGGCACAGCGTCTTAGGGTTTGGGGGTTCTGGGTTTAGAGTCTAGAGTCTGGCAGTCTTGGGTTTAGTTTTTCGTGGGTTTGGGAGGTCTAGGGTTTGGGTCTATCAGGGGGGGGGGGGGGTTAAGGGTTTAAGTTTGTTTAGAGCTCAAGCTTTCTGGCTGAGGGATGAGGATCTGCAGGGTTTGGGGATTTTGGTGTTGCTGAGGTTTGGGGTTTGGGGCTCAGGGTATAGGGACGCCGAAATGCTCAGGTTGCTGAAAGAGCCCGACGCCCTAAGCCCTAATGGGATCCCAATTCATAGATGATATGAGGAAATAAGATGAAGGGTCCCCTCCTTGCACCCCTTAAACCCTGAACCTTCTGGGATGCCAACGGTCGGAGGCCGGCATCATGCTGGACCCGACCTTTGTGAAGGTCGTCTGCTGGTACGTCACCTGGCAAGTTTAGCGTTTAGAGGGTTTTAGGGTTTAGGGTTTAGGGTTTAGGGCTTCAGATTTAGGGAATCTTGCGCACGTATACGCTAAGCCCTACTTAGTTTTCTTTTTGTTAAACGCAGGGTTTGTGCTTAAGCTCATGGCGCGTCCCCTCAACCCCCAACCCCTACACGCACACCAAACACCTAAACCCAAAGTTCTTAAACCCCTAAACCCTAAAGGCCTTTGCAGACCAAGCAAGTTAGAGCGGTGTTCGAGGTCCCTGCTCTGGCGGCGGCTTATGGTATAGGAATTAGGGTTTAGGGGCTTCGGGGCTTAGGGGCTTAGGGCTTAGGGCTCGAGGTCTCGGATCGAGGCCCCCCCGACCCGCCCCCTGGACCCCTATATTTTACACCCAAACCCGATGAAGTTTCCGACGTTCCCCAAACACCCTAAGCCTTGAACGCCAAGCCCCGTTGAAGAACTTGACGCCCTAACCCTAAACCCTAAACCCTAAACCCTAAACCCTAAACCCTAAACCCTAAACCCTAAACCCTAAACCCTAAACCCTAAACCCTCATCAGCCTCTCTTCCCGGTGGGAGGCAGAGTGCCACGACCTTTAGATCCTTAGCCTTTTTGGGGTTTAGGGTTTAGGGTTTAGGGTTTAGGGTTTCTTAAGAAGGCAGCTAAAACTAAATTTATAGCTACCCTGCTAAGTGCAGCCAAGTAGATAAGCCCTAAGCCATAGGAGCCTGAGCTAAGCCACCTAGAGCGCTGTGGGCTTTGGGGGCGTGGCCTTCGGGATTGTTAAGGAGTTTAAACCCTAAACCCTAAACACCAAACCCTAAACTCTCAGGACAACGAGTGGGGCTACTCCTGCCGCGTAGTGGACCTCATCAAGCATCTTGGGAGCAACCGGTGTGGGGTTTAGGGTTTAGGGTTTAGGGTTTAGGGCTTAGGGCTTAGGGTTTAGGGTTTAGGGTTTAGGGGGTCCACGGTTTTTAGGGGCATTTCAGCTCCCAACAGCAGAAACCCTGTAACGCCCAAACCTTTAACCCTAAAATCGCTAGACCCAAGAGCCCTCAAAACCCAAAACCCCAAAAAGGGCACCCATATGTCATATCCAGTTTACTCTTCTGTCTAGATCGTCTTCAAAGCGCGAACTCCAGCACCCTGCAAACCCATCGCGGACCAAACGAAGTCTAACACTAGAGGTCTAGGGTTGAGGGTTTAGGGTTCAGGGTTTAGGGGTGCTAGATCCGAAACCTGAAACGCTAAACCCTGAAGACTCAACCCCGCTATGGACCAGAGGCTAAGGCTGCCAGCCGAGACATGAAAGCCTTTCCTGAGGGCAGTGCTAGTGAGGCAGCAAAACAGGCTTCCCCAACTTGGCAGTCTTGGACATCTCTTCACCTCTTGCGCATGTCGGGCCCAGACGGCGAGCCCATGTGGAAGGTCGGCTTTACCTGTGGAGCGACCATCCGTCGATACTCTCTGGTTACACCCTAGACCCCTAAACCCCTAACCCTAAACCCTAAACCCTAAACCCTAAACCCTAAACCCTAAACCCTAAACCCTAAACCCTAAACCCTAAACCCTAAACCCTAAACCCTAAACCCTAAACCCCTAACCCTAAACCCCGAACCCTAAAACCTAGAACCCAGAACCCTAAACACTTAGCGCCAAGGCTAGAGTCCAGGCTTTTGCATCAGGTTTTCGAAGGCTTTCGGGCAGAGGGGCGTTTGCAGCAGTCTTGGCTGGTTTGCAACATGAGCTTTTGGGCTAGACCCTAAACCCTAAACCCTAAACCCTAAACCCTAAACCCTAAACCCTAAACCCTAAACCCTAAACCCTAAACCCTAAACCCTAAACAACAAGTAGGACGTTGAGTGGCCCAGGCACATGGCTGCGGAGGATGCGAAGGCGTAAGCTCCGAGCAACTGCTTCTTGGCTTCGCACGCAGGTGTTGAGGTCTGGTACTTGGAGGTTCAGGGTACCTAGTGTTATAACCCTAGGGTTTAGGGTTTGAATTAGGGCTTAGGGTTTAGGGCCTTTAGGGTTTAGGATTTAGGGTTTAGGATTTAGGGTTTAGGATTTAGGGTTTGGGCTTTAGGGTTTGGGAATTATAGCTGTACTTCTAACCCAATTATAACCCTATTAGGGCACTGAAGGGGCGTATATGGTGGGTTGCAACTCCACTTATAATGGGTTACGAAGTACCCTGAACCTCCAAGTAGGGTTTGGGGTTTGGAGCAACAAGTCCTACAACCAAGCTCCTCAGCCTAAACTCCGGGGTTTTGGGTGCAAGGTTCAGCGTTTGGGGTTCAGGGCTTCAAGTTCAGGATTTAGCGTTTTAGGTTCAGGGTTTTAGAGCAGGAGTGCTAACTTGTGTTTCTTCTACCCAGAGAAGCTGGAGGCCCTAAACCCTGGTAGCTCTCAACCCTCAATCCTAAACCCTTCGCACCACCGTCGCTGACAGCCCGCAACCCTGGACCCCAGAAGCCCCTGCGCGACTTCCCAGGTTTAAGATCCGAGCCACTTGGCCGGGCTACTCGGCGCCGACTTGATTCGAACTGAGGTTTCGTTCGGTTTGAGGGGTTTCGACGGTTTTTGGCGTATCGGCCCTAAACCCTAAATCCTGAATAACCCGTGAAGGCGCAGGTGTTTGGGGTCTAGCTTTCTGGTAGAGTGCCGAACCCAACCATGATAAGACCCTAAACCCTAATTACTACAGTAAACCCTAATTTCTAAACCCTAAACCCTAAACCCTAAACCCTAAACCCTAAAACCCTAAAACCCTAAAACCCTAAAACCCTAAAACCCTAAAACCCTAAAACCCTAAAACCCTAAAACCCTAAGCCATGACCAACAAAAGCCCTTTGACCTTGTCAGACATTGTTGCATGTCGGTCTTGGACCCTAGTGTTTAGGGTTTAGGGTTTAGGGTTTCTAAGCACTAAACCCTGAACCCTCAACCCTAAACCTTTGTAGTTAGTTATCGCAAATTCCAGTAGCAGTTCATTGGGAGCCTAACCCGCGAACCCCTGGGGCTACGGTTTAGGGTTTAGGGTTTGGGGTTTGGGGTTTGGGGTTTGGGGTTTGGGGTTTAGGGTTTGGGGTTTAGGGTTTGGGGTTTGGGGTTTAGGGTTTTTGGAAGTTCGTGGTGATGGACATCCAAGCATCCAAAAGCCCAGATGAAGCCTGAAGCCTGATGGGTCACAAATCCCAAGCCCGAAGCCATTCTCTTGGCTTCTCTTGGCTTTAGGGTTTAGGGTTTAGGGTTAGGGTTTAGGGTTTAGGGTTTAGGGTTTAGGGTTTAGGGTTTAGGGTTTAGGGTTTAGGGTTTATAAATTTATAACCCCCGAAAACCCTAAACTTCCTGAACCACACATAGGGCTTAGGGTCCTCACCCCTATCAGCCCCAGAAGCACTAAGCAAGCTCTTTCAGAACCCTACCTACATGTGGAAGCCCTATAGACCCTGAACTCTAAACTCGAAACCCTAAACTCGAAGAACCCTGAACCCTAAACCCTAAACCCTAAACCCTAAACCCTAAACCCTAAACCCTAAACCCTAAACCTTAAACCCTAAACCCTAAACCCTAAACCCCGGGTTTCTGGCCTACAGATACCTTGTTAAACCTTTGAGTCGGTCCTATAGGGCTCAGGGTGTGGGGTTTTGGGTTTGCGGTTTCGGGTTTGGGGTTTAGGGTTTAGGGTTTAGGGTTTAGGGTTTAGGGTTTCGGGTTTGGGGGTTTAGGGTTTACGGTTCAGGGTTTGGGGGTTTAGGGTTTAGTTTCGGGTTCAGAGAGGGTGTTCGCAAAAAAAAATGGCTTAGTCTTAGCCAGGCTGACATCGTCTTCGGTGCAGCGAGCGCGGCTGAGCGCAGCGGCACCACCATTTCCCAAATTCTCCCGGCTCGTTAGCTAGATGTGTGGGAACTCCGTAGCCTGAGTCGGTGCGCAATGAATGAAGTGAAGGGTATAAAGGGCTGGGAAAAGGAACCCTAAACCCTAAACCCCTAAACCCTAAAGGGTTTAGGTTTCAAAATCGGCAGACCGAGTCAGGCCATCTTGCCTGCACCTGGGCATCGTAGTCCTCTTGACGGCGCGCAGTCGTCCGCGAAAGCAAGGGGCCAGTCACTGGTCCCTAAACTCTGAACCTTAAACCCTAAACCCTAGACCCTAAACCCTAAACCCTGAACCCTGAACCCTGAACTTTCGTCCTGCACTCTGAGCACTCAAAACCCCTTCAAGGTCTCCAACGTCTGGACCCAAGCCCTAAACTCTGAACCTTAAACCCTAAACCCAGACCCTAAACCCTAAACCCTGAACCCTGAACCCTGAACCCTGAACTTTCGCCCTAAACCCTAAACCCTCTAAACCCTCTAAACCCTATAATCCCCATAATCCCTATAAACCCTACACCCTAAACCAACCCTTAAACTCTGCAGCTCATTTTGAGGACCCAAGCTCAGTCTCAGCCCTATCGTGCCCCGCCTGTTGACAGCATGCCCTCCGCCGCAGCGAACGTAGCCATGGCCGGCCCCGAAGCTGCCAAGAGGGTTTAGGGTTTAGGGTTTCGGGTTTGGGGTTTAGGGTTTAGGGTTTAGGGTTTGGGGTTTAGGGTTTGGGGTTTAGGGTTTAGGGTTTGGGGTTTAGGGTTTGGGGTTTGGGGTTTTAGGGTTTAGGGTTTGGGGTTTGGGGTTTGGGGTTTGGGGTTTAGGGTTTGGGGTTTGGGGTTTGGGGTTTGGTTTGGGGTTTAGGGTTAAGGTTAGGGTTTGGGGTTTAGGGTTTGGGGTTAGGGTTTGGGGTTTAGGGTTTGGGGTTTAGGGTTTTGGGGTTTAGGGTTCAGGGTTTTAGGGTTTAGGTTTTGGGGTTTAGGATTTTGGGTTCTAGGGTTTTTGGGTTTTAGGGTTTAGGATTTAGGGTTCAGGGTTTTAGGGTTTTGGATTTTGGGTTCTAGGGTTTTGGGGATTAGGGTTCAGGGTTTTAGGGTTTAGGTTTTGGGGTTTAGGATTTTGGGTTTTAGGGTTTTAGGGTTTTAGGGTTTTAGGGTTTTAGGGTCTCAGGGTCTTAGGGTTTTAGGGCTTTAGGGTTTTAGGGTCTTAGGGTCTTAGGGTTTTAGGGTCTTAGGGTTTTAGGGTTTTAGGGTTTTAGGGTTTTAGGGTTTTAGGGTTTTAGGGTTTTAGGGGTTTAGGGTTTTAGGGTTTTAGGGTTTTAGGGTTTTAGGGTTTTAGGGTTTTAGGGTTTTAGGGTTTTAGGGTTTTAGGGTCTTAGGGTCTTAGGGTTTTAGGGTCTTAGGGTTTTAGGGTCTTAGGGTCTTAGGGTTTCAGGGTTTTAGGGCTTTAGGGTTTTAAGGTCTTAGGGGTTTTAGGGTTTTAGGGTTTTAGGGTTTTAGTGTTTTAGGGTTTTAGGGTTTTAGGGTTTTAGGGTCTTAGAGTCTTAGGGTTTTAGGGTTTTAGGGTCTTAGGGTTTTAGGGTCTGAGGGTCTTAGGGTTTTAGGGTCTTAGGGTCTTAGGGTTTCAGGGTTTAGGTCTGTTGGGGTTTGGGGCTGCGGGCTTAGGCGGATAAGTCTTGGAGGTCGTAGAGTTTAGGGGATGTAGGTTGAGGGTTTTAACCATAGTTCAGAATTTCGGTTTAAGGTCCCTAAACCCTAAACCCTAAACCCTAAACCCTAAACCCTAAACCCTAAACCCTGAACCCTGAACCCTGAACCCTGAACCCTGAACCCTAAGTTTACTTTTCAGGCTGTAGAAGGCCTGTTGGGAAAGGACTTGGAGATTTGGAGTTTGGCTTCAGGGCCCCAGAGGATTTGGGTACTCGTATGTTGGGCTTCAGAAATGTTGGGGGATTCCTATAGGGGTCGTAATCACTACTAGTAACTTACTAGTATTCCCTCAGCAGGGTCCCTTTAGACATATCCTACAATAACCCCCCCAAACCCTGTTCTAATTATTCAGGCCCCTATCCCTAAACCCTAAACCCAAACAAAACTAACCCTGGCCCGGTCCGGGATGTGAATCTATGACCTCCTGCGTGGACTGGATCTAGGGTTTAGGGTTTGGGGTTTAGGGTTTAAGGTTTAGGATTTCGGGTTTAGGGTTTAGGGTTTGAGGTTTAGGTCTGGGGCCTAGGCCTCCAAAGCACTTCGACCAGGGCACCCCAAACGCCCCGAGGCCCCAACCCCAACAACCCTAAACCCTAAACCCTAACATCCCCAAACGCCGGCTCCTAAACCCTAAACTGCTCCAGGTGCCGGAGCCGTGGCGATTGCGTCTGGCATGGCCTTCGTGGCTCCTACGGGACAGGCCGCCCCTAAATTTACGAGCCTCCGGCTCAGGCCGCCGACCCAAGAGGCCCGAAACCTCTCAACCCTCAAACCAGGGTTCGGGGGTTTGAGGCCGTGTTGTGGGAATGGGGGGGTAGAGGCTTCGAACTGTTGGAGTGGTTGGCGTAAGGTTGCAACATAGGCAACCCCCCCGTGAAACCTTCCCTAAATCCCAAACCCCTACCCACACCCTATATCCAGAACCCTAATTCTTCAAGAACCCTCACTCCAGGTTTTGAGCCTCTGTGGGTCTAATGCTCTTGTCTTTAGGGTAGCCTTAGGGCTTTGGGTTGACCTTTGGGGCAGGTTTGGTTGGGTAGGGTAGAGGTTTGGGAAACAAAGTTGTGCAGGTGCTGGGTTGAATTGTAGTTTCCTGCTGTGTCCAGCGATGGAGGGGCTGGGAGGGGGTTGGAGGGGCTGGGAGGGGCTGGGGCTGGAGGGTGAGGGGGTGGGGGGGTGGGGGGGTGGGGGGGGTGGGGGGGGGTGGGGGGGTGGGGGGGGGTGGGGGGGGGGGTGGGGGGGGGGTGGGGGGGGGTGGGGGGTGGGGGGGGGGGGGGGGTGGGGGGGGTGGGGGGGGGGTGGGGGGGGTGGGTGGGGTGGG